TAATCACTTCATTGCGACATTTTCATTAGACATTTGGAATATCAAAAATGACTTAATTGAGACAAACAGAAGTTGAAGAACATTGTACAAAATGCCTGACCAGTAGTCTTCAGAATTGTCAAGATCATGAAAAGCAAATAAAGACTGAGAAACTATCAAAGATTAGAGGAGACTCAGGAAACAGGACAACTAAATGCAAGGTGGTGTCCTGAATTGGATCCCAAAACAGAATAGGACATTAGTGGAAAAAACTAGTGATTTCTGAATAGAATCTGTAGTCTAGTTAATAGTATTTCACCATTGTTAATTTCTTAGTTTTGAAAACTGGTTATTTAGGATGTTAATATTGGGGGAAGCTGGATAAAGTCTATACAGGAGCTCTCTGCACCATTTTTGCAGCTGTTTTGTAAATCTAAAATGTTTCCAAAATCCAAAAATAATGCTTAAGGGCCTCAGCTTGGTAGACAGTCTATTGCATCAAGTCTTTAACAATCAGTTTTGTCTGTATGTGGTTGCCTCTGTTAATGTAATAGCAAAGAGATAAGATACTATCAAAAATACAAAATCTATTTTTCCTTATTATCCGTTATCAGGTTTTTTCTATAGCAATATTGAGTGCCTAAATGGAAACACTTATGCTTTCTGACTCATGTTTAACTTACTCTTTAGTAGAGAAGAACTATAACCACAAAAGATGGAACATTGCAGCCAGTGAGTATGTGTGTTTGTGTATTTCCATGAATACCATAAGGCTTCATTTGACATCACCATGGTTACCGAGCTTTGAGCAATAAAGTGCAAAGGGTACAGGGAAAAGCATTCCTCTGTAGAAAAGAATGGAAACCACAATACCAGGGATTTGGCTCTCATTTCCATTCAGAGAGTTATCCTAGCTCAGTTAGGATTCTAAATCCATTAATAACCAGGAGATAAATACTTATAATCTATATGCATCCCACTTTGCAAATGATTTTTTTATTTATCTGCCTCTGATCTCTCAGATTTCTACTCAGATTCACATAACTGTTTTTCACTTCCACAGTATTACTACTACTACATCTACTTCTGCTACCAACCATCACCATCTCTGCTAATAAAAATAAAATTTAAAAGTCTCTGTCTTAGCTTGGACTGCCGTAACAAAATTATATAGACTGAGTGGCATGAACAACAGACATTTATTTTCTCATAGTTCTGGAGGTTAGAAGTCCAAGGTCAAGGTGCCAGCATGGTCAGGTTCTGGGGAGAGCCCTCTTCCCAGCTTGCAAATGGCCACCATCTCACTGTGTGCTCCCATGACCTCTCTTTTGTGAGAGCACAGGGATAGAGAGAGCAAGCTCTCTGGTGCCTCTTCTTGTAAGGGCACTAATCTCATGCTGAGGGCCCCACCCTCATGACCTCATCTAACTCTAAGTACCTCCCAAAGGTCTCATCTTCAAATACCTTCACATTAAGGCTGAGGAATTCAACATATGAATTTTCTGGGAACACAATTGAGTCCATAGCCATATCCAAAACCCAAGAGTTTCAAACAAGAGTACGTGGACTACACTTCAAACATATTTTCTAGATGCTTTCTGCAGGCTATCTTATTAAATCCTCAAATAACAACTTCATGAGGTATATTGACCTTAAGTTATAGATTAGGAGGTTAGGTCTTAGAGAAGTTAAAATAACTTCTGCAAAACAAGGCATTTAATACATAGCAGAACCTTCACTGAAAATCAAGTTGTTCTGATTAAAAAATTATATTCTTAGGCATTACAATAGAATACCTTAAATCCTAATACAAACAGGTGTGATTAAAGACTGAGTGAAATGATTTATCCTTTGCAAAAATTACTTCATGTTATATTGTGGAGAGAGTAATTTTAGGAAGAGAGTAAATTTGATGCAATTTTTTTCCTTTTTTGTCAGCTGTGTATTGATAAATATAAAAAGCTAAATTGATTAACAATATCCAAACCATTGTGAAATTAGCAGGAACTCATATTCGTATTCAACAGAATATTTAGAAGTTCTGTCTATTGATATTATATGTAACATAATTCCCATAATTTTTGGAATTATTTGAAACCTTTTAAAATGTATTAGAAGAAGCAATGATTTACATATAAATATTCATAGTGGTTATGGATGTGCTGAACAAAGTCTGTCACTAAGAGCATTTTATCTGTTTTGTATTGTACTACCCTTTGTTAGTTAGTGAGTCCTCTGTAAGGTGCTGCGGCATGAGTTTTGTATGCTTCATTTATTTTCACTTCACAATAATTCTACGATACAGACATTATTTTCTCCAACCTAAGATAAGGATTCAAGCTCAGAGGGTTAAATGACTTGCTCAAAGTTACATGGCTCTCACAAGGGGCTGAGCCGAAATTCCAATTGGAGTCTTGTCTAGTTCTACAGTCCTAGGGAACTAGAAACTGGGAAATCATTAATATATTTCTATTTATTTTTTAAAATTCTTATATAGTGCTCTAAGTGTTCTGGATGCAGAATATTTAGATCTCAATTCTGTTAGAATTATGTGTCATTGGTAAAAAAAAGTCCCTACATGTGACTTTGTCATGTGCTTCAGATTGCACCTAGTCTGTAAGTAAAAGCGGCCTGAGAAATGAGCTGACTCTTGTTAAGAACCTTCTGTGCACTAGAATGTGGGCTCACCTTGTTAACTCTTCCCTCTGTCCTATGAGGTACATTTCTTTATTAGAGGAAACATTAAATAATTTGTCCAAGTTTGCACAGCTAAAGTGGCATAGCCATGATACAAACCCAAGTCTGTCTGATTCCAAAGTGTAGGAGGAGGTCATCGAGAGGACGTGAACACTGGTTGACCCTTGAGCTGGACCCCATCAATCGGAGGCTCCTCAACCCCTCCCCTGTCCTTGAAATGTACATCCTGCCCACTGTTCTCGCACTCGGAGCCGTTTTAAAGCACACAGCTTTAAGAGAGTAATGTGTTGTTGAGACCATCTGGACGGTATACATGACAGAACCCAGTTAAGGCCTCCATGTAAACTTTTAAGATGCTGGTGGGCGGCTGCAGAGACCTACTCGTCTTGTGACTCCCCAAACCTCTATGTAGGTTCCCTCACTTATTAAACCTGCCACCTACCACTCTGGAGTGGTCTGCCTCTTTCTTTGGTTTCTCCTTGCCCCACCCCAAGTACAGAGCCCAGTTTCAGATTTCACCCAGGGAAGTCCCAAGGTTGAAAACTAACACAAAGCTTAATTAATTTTCCACTATACCAAACAATAACTTCCTGTAGGTTTGCATTTTCTAAATTTATTACCGCTTAAAATATAAATAATTTTTTTAAGTTTAAAAAGCCAAATTCTAAAACACTAAATAAATTCATATAGAATTGAGTTAAAGCTAAACAAACCATCTGCTGATATCATATTATAAAATCAATATTTACACTGTGTTTTTTTACTATTCTTTTACTTTGGACGTGGAGATCAATAAGGGGCCAACAAATAAATTAGCTAGAACACAATGTGCTAAACACAAGTGTGTAGGAAGAACACCAGGAGCACTGAAGGAGTGCCTTCACTCCTTATTTCCAGGGTGTGGTTAGCAATCCTGTGACAGAGGAGGTGCATCAGTGCAGGTAGAAAAGGAGAGGCACATAGATGTGTGTGGGAAGTTCAGAGTTGTCCTTCATTTGCTTTTTGAAGCCACTGGGAAGGAGCTAAGAAAGGTAGCTGGAGTAAAGTGAAAATGTGTGTTTGCATTGTTATTCTATTTATTCTGCTTTTGTAATGAGAGATCTTTATGTGATTGTTCTAAGAGTGCATTTTAACATGGAAGCACTGTCTTCTAGTGAATAATAAACAATGCACACTGCAAAGGAATTCTATTATCTGGCCTATATTAGTAACAAAACACATAAATAAATAAATAAATAAATAAATAAAAGAGTTGCAGTTTAAATAAATAAATAAGAGAAATACAGTTTAAGTAAATACAGGAGAAATACAGTGATGTAAGTTTCTAAAGTTTCCTTCTATGAATTTCTTTATGGTTATAAAGAATGTACACACCAGCAAAAATATGCTAAATGTTGAAGTTTAAAAGTTGTGGCCAATTTGCATTTCTACACCTCTTCAATTACTGAAAAGGAAACTCATTTTGTTGCTTTGCCTTAAACATACCTGTAGAAGGAGTGTGATAAGGTGGGCATCAGGTGACAGACAATCTAAAGGTCCGATATTAATTCGTCCTGTAAAACAAAGGCGGAGTCCTGAAAGGGTGGTTTGTGTTTGTGTAATTGGTAGTCCTGCTTTTTTGCAAAGCTGAAGCGCCCAGACAGATGTGTGCTCAAATCCTGACATTATCACTGTCTTCATCCTAAGATGGAGATAAACTACCTTGTACAGTAGATATGAGGATTAAGTGTGTTTATAAATCTTAAAATGCATTACACATAATAAGCATTTAATAAATACTAGTTACAATAAAACTATAAAGAGGTGAGACAGATGTGTCCATTATAAAAACATGTATCTTTTTGTTCTCTAAATTAATAATTGAGCAATTGTTTTTTTTAAAAAAATTAACCCTACAAGTTAATTTTTAAATGCGATGTTTTTTCAAACAGAGAAAATTGAGCATTATGAAAGTGCTTAATCTTAGCAAATCGTCACTGCGTTATCATGGAAAACAGAGAATTATCTGTAGCTAGGATGGTGAGAATAAATATTTCCTATGGCATTGACACCCAGATAATTTAGTTAGATTAAAGACAATTAAAAGCCAGCACCTTGAAAACTTCATAAAATATTTTCATGAAAAATTCATTTTTATATTAAATATCATGTTTTTAAAATTGGCTGTAATTTTAATGAATAACTTGCTTATAACAAAAAAATTGTTCTCTGTAAGTGAATTTTTAAAAATTTATTCCCACTGGATTCATTGAATAGGTAAATTCCTGATGCTACAAAACTAATGTAAAAAAGATAGATAATAGGATTCCTTTATTTGCTTTCAGATTTTCCGACGATGCTGGTTGGTTTTCAAGAAGGCTTCTAGTAAAGGACCGAGAAGGCTAGAAAAATTTCCAGATGAAAAGGCAGCATATTTCAGAAACTTTCATAAGGTAAGTCACAGTCCTTGGACTCACTGGGGAATAACTGGACCCTTGGCAACAACTGGTGGAGACATTTCTTTTGATAGATGAAATCTGCAGAGGCAAAAATGCATGGCTAGGATAAAATGTCCCTGTTCTGATAAAATGCAAAAGTTATTTTTCTCCTTTATTTTAATCATCTGCTGTAAATGCCAGTGGTACCTCTGCAAAATGAAAGACTCATTTTTATTGCTACTTTGCAATATGAGATGACTCATAACTCAACTAGATCATTTTCCAAGGTGCTGAGTAGGCATGTGCCCTCTCTTCAGGTTAATTGTGCATTTGTTACTTTGATTTAAACTGTGGGCCATATTTAGGAGGTAAAACTTTTGAGGCTGGCGTTAGCAGTGTTAATGACACTGTTATTGTACATGGCATTTGCTGTTTATAGCCTTAACAAGAAAGTGATCATCAAATATGTTGATGTATAGAGATGTTGCATACATTCTACGAATGAAATATCAATTTCCTAAGAATTAAAATTCTGTAAAAAATAATCCTAGAATGACGCTAAATGCGCTGCCTAAAGTTATCTTTGATGAAAACATCAAAACAAAGTTAAGTATTTTATACTAATGTGGAGGATTCCTGATCAGAACTCAGAATTGTGAAACAGTGTTGCTCGTTGGTAGAATGCATCAATAGCCTTAGCAAAGTTTCTAATTCTTTACTGGTGGTAGTATAGGGTAAGTTACCCTGAAGAAATGCAGTGAATTTCTAGACTTTATTTTATGTGATACATAGTTCTAATTTCTCCTTTTATTAAACATTTAAGGCTTTCCAGGGGTTGGGGGGGGTGATAAATACGTGGAGCACAGAGGATGTTTAGGACAGTGAAACTATTCCTTATGATATTATTGATAATTGATACCATATTGGACATATAGTTAAAAACCTTCCCACCAAAAAAACTTTGGGTCTGTATCCCTTCACTTGTGACTACTACAACATGTTTAAGGGGAAAAAAGAATCTAAATAAATACCTAAAGAAAATAAAAAAGACAGAAACCCTTTCCAATTCACTTTATCAGACAGTCTTATCTGAAAACCAAAACTAGACAAAGACATTAGGAGAAAGTGACTGATCAATATCCCTACAAACCAAAATTTCTTAACAAAATATTACCAAATCTAATTCAAAAATGCATTCAAATGATAGCACGATCAAGTGAGATTTACGATAGAAATGCAAGGTTGTTTTAACATTTGAAAATCAATCAATGTACTGATGTAGAATAAAAGAGAAAATATATCATAGGATCACTTAAATTCATGCAGAAAAGGCATTTGACAAAATTCAGCATCCATTTATGATTGAAATCTCTCAGAAAATTAAGAATAGAGTGAGCTTCCTTAATCAAAAAAAGAGCAGCTAACAAAAAACTACGAAAAAGAAAAAGGAAAACTGTTTTATTCTCAATCACATAATTGTTTGTTGAAAATGCTTGCTCATCTTCAAAGCAAGTACCAAAATTAATGAATAAATTTAGTGAATGATATGTTGATAATCAATTGTATTCTTAATAATAACAGTTAATACTTGGTAAATTAATTTTTTAAAAAAGAACTCAATTTACAGTAGTGCCAACAAATAATTATGAATAAATTTATCAAAGCGCATGTAAAACCTCTACACTGAAAATTATGGAACATAATTGAGAAAATTAAAGGAAGAGGACACAAATAAATGGTGAGATATAAAATATTCTTAGATTGGTTGATTCAATATTATTAGGATGTTAACCCTCCCTACATTAATATATATTCAACATAATTTTAATCAAAATTCCAGGAGTCTTTTTGTATAGCTATTGAGAGTCTCTTTCTATATGGATATCTGTATAACCTATATTAGCTAATGCAATTTTAATAAAGAAGAACAAAGTTGGAAGTGTTACACTAAAAGGTATCAAGACTGACTTACTATAAACTTACAGAAATCATGATAATGTGATTTTAGCAAGAGGGTATCCATATAGATCACTGAAAAGGAATAGAGAGGTTAGAAATGAACTCACACGTGTATGGTCACTTGCATTTTGACAAATGTATGAAGACAAGTCAATAGGAAAAGAAATCCTTTCCAATAAACGGTGCTAGAGCAACTGGATGTCTCTATGTAAATAAATGAACATTGATCTTACCTCACACCATACATATAGTAAACTCAAAACAGATCATCATTCTAAATTTAAAGCCAAAAGTATAAAACGCTCGGTAGTAAATATAGTAGAAAACCTTTGTCACCTTGTGGTAAGCAAACATTTCTCAGGACACAAAAAGTATGAATCATAAGAAAATAATTGGTAAATTGAGTTATATTGAAATTTAAAACTTTTTCTTTTCAAATTAACAAAATAAAAAGACAAGTAAGTCTAGAAAAAATGATGCAAACATATATCTGACAAAGAACATGTATTCAGAATACTTAAAGAATTCTTACAACTCAATAATAAGAGATAACTCAATATTTAAAAAGGGTCAAAGGATATGAACAGACATTTTCCAAAATAAGCTATAAAAACAGCAAGTAAAAACATGAAATGATACTCAACATCATTAGTTATCTGTGACATTTAAATTCAAACCAAAATCAGTTATCACTACCCACCCATTAGAATGGCTGAAATTGTAAAGACAGATTAACTAGAGTTGGTGAAAATGTGGAGCAAATAGAACTCATAGATTGCTGATGGAAAAGTAAAATTGTACAAGCACTTTGTAAAACTCTTGGGCAGTTTCTTTTCTTTTTATTATTGAGGTAACATTGGTGTATAACATTATATAAATTTCAGGTGTACATCATTATATTTTGACATCTGTGTAGACTACATCTTCTTCACCCCCAAAAGTCTAGTTTCTATCCATGACTGTATGAATGTCCCCCATTACCCCTTTCACCCTCCTCCCCCCCTTCCCCTCTGGTAACCACCAGTCTGTTCTCTGTATCTATGTGTTTGTTCATTTGTTTTTTCTGTCTTCCACCAATGAGTGAAATCATACAGTATTTGTCTTTCTGCATCTGACTTATTTCACTTATTTAGCACAATACCCTCAAGGTCTATCCATGTTGTCAAAAATGGCAAGATTTCATCTTTTTTTATGGCTAGGTAGTTTTCCAGTGTATATATATATACCACATCTTCTTTATCCACTCATTCGTCGATGGGCACTTAGCTTGTTTCCATGTCTTGGCTATTGTAAATAATGCTGCAGTGAACATAGGGGTGCATATATCTTTTTAAATTAGTGTTTTCATATTCTTTGGATAAATACCCAGAAGCAGAATAGCTGGATCATATGGCATTTCTATTTATAATCTTTCGAGGAATCTTCATACTGTTTTCCATAGTGGTTGTACCAGTTTGCATTCCTCCAGCAGTGTATAGGGTTCTCTTTTCTCCACATCTTCTCCATGACTTTTTATTTCTTGTCTTTTTAATAATAGCCATTCTGGAGTGCTTGAGGTGATATCTCATTGTGGTTTTGATTTGCATTTCCCTAATAATTAGTGATATTGAACATGTTTTCATGTGCCTGTTGGTTATCTATGTATCTTTGAAAAAATGTCAAGATCCTCTGCCCATTTTTTAATCTGGTTGTTTGGTTTATTGTTGTTAAGTTATATGAGTTTTTTTTTTTTTTTTTTTTGGATGTTAACTCATTGGATGTATGATTTGCAAATATCTTATCTCAATTGTTAGGTTGTCTTTTTGTTTTGTTGATGGTTTTCTTTGCTGTGCAGAAGCTTTTTAGTTTGATACAGTCCCATTTGCTTATTTTTGCTTTTGTTGCTTTTACTTTTGGTGTCAGATTCAAAAAATTATTGCCAAGACTGAAGTCAATGAGCATACTGCCTGTGTTTTCTTCTATAAGTTTTATAGTTTCAGGTCTTATGATCAAGTCTTTAATCCATTTTGAGTTAATTTTTGTGTATGGTATAAGATAGTCTACTTTCATTCTTTTGCGTGTGGCTGTCCAGTTTTCCCAACACCAATAATTGAAAGGACTTTTCTTTCTCCATTTTATGTTCTTGGCTCCTTTGTTGAACATTAGCTGTCCATGGATGTGTGGGTTTATTTCTGGGCTTTCGATTCTATTCCATTGATCTGTGTGTCTGTTTTTGTGCCAGTACCATGCTGTTTTGATTACTATACCTTTGTAGTATATTTTGAAATCAGGGAGTGTGATATCTCCAGCTTCATTATTTTTTCTCAGCATTGCTTTGGCTATGCAGGGTCTTTTGACTGAATAAGTTTTAGGATTCTTCGTTAAATGAATACAGTAAAGTTACAGGGTACAAAATCAATGTAACAAAAATCAGTTGCATTTCTATACACTAACAATGAACTAGTAGAAAGAGAAATCAAGAAGACAATCTCATTTACAATCACAACAAAAAGAATAAAATGCCTAGAAATAAATTTACCAAGAAGGTGAAAGACCTGTACACTGAAAACTATAAGACATTGTTGAAAGAAATCAAAGAAGATATACAGAAATGAAAAGATGTTCCATGCTCATGGATTGGGAGAATTTACATAGTTAAAATGTCCATATTACCTAAAGCAATCTATAGATTCAATGCAACCCATCAAACTTGCAATGACATTTTTCATGGAAATGGGCAGTTTCTTTAAAAAGTTAAGCATACATCTATGCAACTATTCCACTTCTAGGAATTTACCTCCCAAAAATGAATAGCCATGTCCAAATAAAGACATGTACAAAAATGTGCATAACAGCTTTATTCAAAATAGCCAAAAAGTGGAAACAACCCAAATAGGAGAATAAATACACCAATTGTGGTTTATCCATCAATGTAATACACTAAACAATAGAAAGGAAAGACTCACTGATATGCATAATAACAGATGAGTCTCAGAATCATTATGCTGATTGAAAGACTTCAAACCACAAGTAATATATATTATATGATTTCATACTTATTTGTAGTAACAAAAATC